TTGACTCCATGCAATCGTATACTGAAGCTGGATAAATCCAAAAAAGAGCATATTCAACCAATCAATCAATCAAAGTGTATTTATATAGCCCAATATCACACATGTTACATTTGTTTCAGTTGACTTTACAGTGTGTACAGAATATGAATACCACCTGTCCTTGGACCCTCACATCGGAAAAGGAAAAGCTTCCAAAGAAACCCCACAGTTATTGGGGGAAATGGAAGAAACCTCTGGGAGAGCAACAGATCAGATGTGCAATAGATGTAGTGTATATATTTAAAAGATAATACATTTACAACATAGGTAGTCTAAATGCTTGAAGATGTATCTAGGTGGATTTCAACAATCCTGTGGGAGCCATCACATTCCCTCTGCAGTAACTGGATAAATAAAAAGGAAGATGGAAAAAAACAAATACTTTTTAAGTACAAGAAAACAAATAATGATGTTGACGATGATGATCATGATGATGATGAAGCTTTGAACTTTTCACATATTTTTGTGGTGGAGAAATGATTAAATGTTGAACTTATTGTCTTGCTGCATGTGAAATGTGTTGCACACTTTTTTCCATGTTGTTTTTTGAAAACTTAGCAAGAAAAATATCTCATTAATTTTGAAAATATGCCTTTTATGTATTATTCACAATATCTTTGCAACTGGGAAGTTGACAGGTTGATGTTGAAATAAAATGCTTAATCATGTGCAATATTATTTAGGGTAATTCGAAGAAAATGTAATAGGCAAGCAAATGAGCAGAACAAATAAAACCTCCAAATAATTGAAAAATTAGACCCTGATACAGTATGTGTTAATGTATTTATAAGATAAAATAAGTGGGAGCCATCAGTTGTTGTAACAACAACAACACAATCTATTTCAACACATCATGGTCACATGTCAAAGCAAAGATGGTAGATCAATATGATGTCAATATCCATGAATAGTGGACACCTCCAATTTGATTCCCTGGTAGAACAACGTGCTCTGAGGATTGCAACAGTGATTCTGTATGCACAGTCCTTTGAGATTAGGTTGATGTATTTTCGGTCAGGGAACAACCGGTTTGAATGCAACAGTGGACACTGCGTCACAGCAGTAAGTACTGAGGAAAGATAATTTTAGAGGCAGCTTTTTAAAATAACAGACATCTCCCAGTTGTCAGACAGGAGTAGACTCAGTTCTTCTGTTTGTGAATTGAAAAAGGAGGATTTATTTACATCAATGCAAAATAGATCAATCAAACCGAACAAAAGCATCAGACCATAGTTCTAAAACTGCATCCATCCAACAGCATAATTAGTCACATTACCTGTGTCCCAAATTGCTCTCTATTTTTGAGTCTGTGAAACCAAATGTTACCTAATTCCTCATCAGACAATTAGGTTCAGAGAGTTGAGTGGTTTATAGTCCATTACACCTTAAAATATGCACTTCACGATGCGCTTTCTTTGGCACCAATTCCTCTAAAATTGAGCTATATAAATGAAACTGCAACTGTAACAGGTTTCAGTGACACAAATGGAAATGTATGATAATTGAAATATATTAAATTAGGTATAGCAACATGATCCATGGACAACCTCTTTCTGTTGGAGTTCAAATTATATGTCAAGGATAAGTGTGCTGAAATATTGCAACTCATATAATTCTTCTGACAGAAGGACATCACTTCTCAATGAATGCTACCAAGTGAGAAGGTTAACACTGGCAATAAAGGGAGCCAGACAGAATGGGAATGAAGCTAATGAGAGGCGATAAGATTCACTCCAGCCTTCAATTTCAAGGATGGAGGAGCTGGGATCTCGGAAAGGACCAGAGACTGACACACGAGAGAGATCTTTAATGAGAGACATTAGAGAAGGCGGAAGCAGTGATATCAGTCTGTATGTGTGCGGCAGAACACACAGTGTGCTGACTAAGCCTACCACCAGGTAGATAAATCGTCTTTATAGAGTTTAGATTTCAACATGTCATTTTAGCTCTATCATGACTCCTGGCATACAAATACCTATGTGTACTGAAACTGAATTATTCAAAGATTCAACAACTGGTAAACGCCAGGCAAAGGACTCGAATGCATGACTCAGGATTTTGGTAAAAGGTCACGCTCTCTACTGGCCAAAACAGAATTCGGTACACAGGTGGTCAATCAGAGAAAAAGCAATCAAAATTCAGCAGGGATATGATAAAGACAAGGTCCGGTAAACAGGGAAGATGAAAAAAAACATAGTACATGTATGTAAACATAGACAGAAAGAAAATGTTCAGGTATTTTCCAAAAAAGTGTTTTTTCTCTTTCATTCTTTTGAGAAAAAAGCTGTTTACCCAGGCCCTGTCAAAAATAAATTACCATCCAAATTAAAATGCAAAAACATAGTTAAAGCTTTACTTTATTTAAAAGGGTTGAGCCAAACACACACAGGTCTAACCCCAAATAATGGCGTGGTCTGTCTCCTGCGATTATTGTATTCCCCCGCTCACAAATGAGTGAGATGAAAAAATTATCCTGTCATGTTGTTAGAAGCAGCATTATGTTGGCCACGTCTGCCATTGCACAGACTGTCGCCTCATTTGTGACGCAACACAAAGGCTATAACAAAGCACATGTCTCAAGCCAAAAACAGCCAGTTGTGAGCAATTACATATAGAAACATTCTTGTTATAACGAATTATAGCCGCCATCCATTTCAACACATAGTAGGAAGTGTGTATCTAATAATGGACAAGAGGGATAGGCTTATGCTCATTCTTCAGCAAATGTAGCAAAGTAAGAGTACAAATAAATCCTTAATACAGCTTCTCACAAAAAGGTTTGTGGATTATAACCAGCTAAGATTTCTGGAAAAAATCCTTGCTGTTTAGATTTTCTAATTATTATTTTTTGAACAGATTCCAAGTGCCAGTGCCAGCATAGGTAAGAGGTATCCCTTATGCTTGACGTCATAGGTGCTTACGTAGGTTGAGGACACGAGGAAGTAGAACCTTTATTGCCACACTAAGGCGTTCCAGGAATACTAATTTATGAATTTCAGATTAGTCAGCCCCTTCAGAAGTGGTGGATTGTTAACACCTGACCTCACCATATAACAGGCCAAATGGTTTAAATCAAGCAGCTGAGGCTCAGGGGACGGCGTCAAAGAAAGAGGGTGAAGAGGGCACATTTCTGCTGGGAAGTCAAGGCCCTTTTAACAGAAACAAGGAGACGATTGTCAAATAAGGTGAGAGAAAAATAATTACACCGGCCTCTCAATATAAAGTATAATACATATCCTGATGACTAAGTCAGTACCTGCTTTGTTCATTATTAACTTGCAAGGCACACTATGAGAATAAGGTCTCCCTCTTGGCTTCAGTACCTTGACAAACACAATCCTAGCATGTCTGGAACTTGCAGATACACTGTCTCAGTGTGTTGCTTTGATGAAGTTTAGTCCATCTCCTGTAACAATAAAAAGGCCAAGGGGATAAGTTAGTGTTATAATGGGCTATACCTAGTTGATATCAGGCTAAAATAACTTAGATAAAGTATATTTGCTCACTAACATTTCACTAGTCTCACGGCATTACGTGTTATAGTCACGAAATGTAATCTATTGATTCGTGTTCACCAACACGATTTCCCCCTTTTTTTCGTGTCACACAGAACGATTTTAAAAGCAATCTATTCCTATTGGTAGTATGTTTCATGCCTGCACCACGTCTTTTTGTCCGGTCAGGTCTTGGAAGACCAGATGTCACGNAATACAATTTGTTAAAACATTGTTGTTTCGTTTGATGTGAAATATAATGTGCTTAATTGAAATAAAAAGCAATGTTAGTTTTGTTCACAATTTGTTTAGTTAGTTTACCTTATTTTTTTCTCTAAAAGAACCGATAAAAGTACCGTTAAAAGACCGGATCGATAAGCGGTATCGATAAAAGTAGTA